TAGTAATTAAGAGTTCTGTCAGGAGTCTTAATTTGATTAATGCCTTTTCAGTGCTAACATGTGAGGGATTGAACTGTGAATAAGATCTTCTGCTTATGTACTTATATTATCCCACGGCAGATAATTTACAGTTAAAATGTATTTGTTATAGGGCAATCGCGTGGATTACAGGAGTGCTTGGATGCTATACAAGCCTGTGGTGTGTCCTCTCTTTGAGCCAGTGGGAATGCATCGCTTCTCTGCTGCAGACAAACTGTGAAGGACTGTCTCCTTGCTGCAGATTGGATGTCTGTTGACATAAAGATGCATTGCCTGTTATGCACTGGTGAGGTCAATGCTGTGCACATTGAGGAACTGAGGCAGGCATGGCAGAGGGAGATTAGCTGGCTAACTGAGAGAGTGTCTCTGCAGAAATGTTGCATCACTCCTCATTCAATGGAATACATTGAACTTCAGGTACCGCTGTCATTAAGCCATTGTTCCTGCCCTGGTATTATTCTACAAATTTACGAATGTTTAATAAAGATTCAAGTAACTTTTATTACAGGTCCATGTTCCATCAAATAAGGAGAATCTCTCAGGTTAAGTCAGTTGTGTATTATACATCGAAACTAGGTTTATGCTGATATTTCCTACACTAGACAAAGTGGGAGAATAAAAGATATTGCTGCTGCGCAATCCGGCTAGGGAAGAGAAACCATGTATTTTCTGAGGCTTTAGCAAATGTCCTACACTGACAGCCTGAAAGAACTCAAACTTAAACCCACCAGACCTCTTCAGAATTAACAGTGAAACATAAAACAAAGGACACCAGAGAAAAATACACGGAAGTGCATTTAAAACCAAAAACAGGAAGCATGTCTTTATGCAAAGAGTTGCGGGAGTATATAACAAGCTACCCATCCTTCTTGGTGAATTCAATATCCCTGTACTTTTTTTCCAGAAATAAATAGAAACAGTGTCTTCTAGAAAAAGACACTCTAGACTAGTCTATAAAGTCTAGATATTAAAGATAATCTGTAAAATCAGACAACCACAAGGAGATGCGAGCAATCCTTGGTAGTCTTGCTGCAAGAAACCGCTGACAAATGGGGTGTATTTATACTGTAGATTCATACTCTAGTTGATTGCAATTAGATTCATCCCCCTATCTTGGGAATTCTTTCTGCTTTCTTTCCCTTAGCACAACTCTGTATGGAAAAGGCCTGGTCTGACGCTACTTTACAGTCCTCACGAATCAGGGGACATATCATTTGCTGGTACATCCATGTTACTTTGGAGTGGGTGGGTCACTGCTGTATATGCTTAGCACAGCAGCATATACAGCAGGACTGAAATTTCAAAAGTCATTGTTAGTATTTCCCTCACATTGTTCTCTCCCTCAGTGGTCCTGCTAGTTTAGAGGATCCTTCAGTTGCCCTGTTCTGATGCCTGCCTGGTGCCGACCTGATTCTGTCTGTACTGTGAGGACAAGTTCCATTCTTATTGTGTTTTATCGCCAGCCTCGCTCTCCCTCTCTGCCCAGGGGGGTTTCCAGAGGAACAATAAACTGGGTCAGGACAGGAACAAACCTATTTTTAAAAAAGCAATTTCAGGAGTGCCCACAGGTAGCAAGCACCTCAGACAATAGATAAATGAGACGGAGTTCCCTGCCATTAACCTTTCCCAGTAGCTCCCAAAGGGCCAGTGCCTCCAAGCAATGCACTACGGCATTTTAAAGAAATAACTTGGAGACACTGAGAGATTTCCTTCGGCCCGTGATACCCACAGCATGCAGTGTCACAGAAAGTGACCTGTTTCTTGTAAAGAGCTAAGTTTTCCCACGCACACCCAACAAACGTCTGCTTTAGAAATCTGATGTTGTGGATTACGAAAAGCAAATGATTATCAAGAAGGTGGCACAGTGTTTAGCATTGCTGCCTCACAGCACTGGGTCCCTGGGTTCAATTTCAGAACGTACGTGCTATCTGTGTGGAGTTTGCGTCTTCTCCTTATGTCCGCATGGGTTTCCTCCCACCGTCCAAAAACATACTGGTAGGTTAATTGGCTTCTGGGAACAGGTGTGAGTGTGTGTCTGCCCTGCGATGGACTGACGGACCGGTGTCCTGTCCAATGTGTACCCCACCGTGTACCTGTTGCTTGTAGGCTTGAGTCCCCTCCTTCTCACAACCCGGAATTGGAAGAAGCTCTCAGAGAATGGAAGATGGATTTCGATGACAACCTAAGGTTACTAGGGTTGCTGCAATTTTTGAGAAGTTATCTGGATTTGTATTTTTAAGGGAATATCATTAACCATATAGATGCATCTAAAACCACATTTGTTTGGCACTACAATTTTATGTGAAGTTATTTATTCAAACGGAAGTGTAATAGAACATAAGGATTACCACAGAAAACAGGTAGATGTACGTGACATTTCAGTAGTTTGGTCAAATCATAATAATGTGACAAAGCTGACATGAGATGAAAGAGAATGAATGACAGAGCTTGTGGTACTTGAGGTTAGGGTGATTGGGTTAGTTGAGATACTGTGTATGTAAAGGCTTTAGAGGAACACTGGTATCAGGTTTGACCGGAATAGATTAGGATTCCAGAAAAGCACAGTAAGAGATGACCATGCCTACCCATGAGGAGAAACTGAAAGCTATTGTGTTTATCAACTAAAATGGCTGACTGGGCAATAGGAAGCAAGTAATAAGATTCACAACACTTGTGGGGCTTATAGTGAAATTGAATTTAATGTACTGATAGTACGTACCCTGGAGGGTCTGGTCCATTTGCTAGTCTCCGCATGAACATGCAAATGGCTTCCAGTGGAACCCCCTAAAACAGCAGCTATAGTGATGGTCTCTGAGGGTCAGTTTGAGTCTAGTACGCTTGAGAGGATCTCCCCTGGGGCCCCAGGTGTGAGCATAGTGGGAGGGGGGGAGAGAGAGTCAACACTGTACCCGATTGGATGCCAACAGGAGGCAGGGAAGCATTGTCACCTCTGCTGTGTGGGCCGCAACCAGGACAAGGGCTACAAAACAAGGGCTCAGAGTAAGCACAGACTAAGGCTGGGAAACCTCCTAGAAGGATGTCAGGAAAGGAGGGTTGGATAGGAAGAGAGAGAAATAGCCACAGAAAGACTGGAGCTGAAAGGGTGTTGGGTTGGACGTCTGAAAATGACAGGGGGCAGAAGGAGAGAGAAGGAGGGAGAGCAACAGGAAACAGCCCCTTGGGGGTCTGACATCGGAGGTGACATCAGAAGGAGCTGGAAGAGAACAGCAGGCTCTACTGTGACCGAAGGGATTCAAGGCCGAGGTCGAAGAGCAGCTGGTTCAAAGGCACAGCAGAAAGGTTGTTCCCCACCATAGGGCAGTGGGATGTGCAGGACTGATGGAGGATGAAAGTGGGATAATTGAGAGGTAAAATCTGTCCCCTGCAGGAGCAAACAAGGAGTGTGAGAAAAGATAAGCAAAGAGAGTGCTCAGGAGGCGCGATCTTTTTGTATAGCAGAGCAGAAAGGGGTGAGATTATAATGTGACCTTCTCTTTGTTGGAGCCCTGTGGTCAATCCATGTCTTATCAGAGTCCTTTAACATTTTTCTGTTTCATTCCTTCAAGACCAAGATGTTTTTGGACTGCTCAGCTTGGATCTCTTTCTGGTCCTTCTGCAGCAAGGTGCCCAAAGTGTTAAACATAAGTTACTAAATGAGATCAAGGAAGCGCTTCGGACAATTTTAGCATGATGTCCTTCAGTTTAATTTCTACTCATTTCACTGTATTCCTGATGATTCCGCAACCACTTTCGACATTCTTGCTAAAGAAATGAATTAATCGATATCAACACCCCAATTCTGCCTTTCCAACATAGCCATTACAATTATATAAAAAAATATATGGCCAATTAATCCAAATCATCATAGATCAGTTGTGGTTTATTCTCATATTGGTATCAATTATTGAATTGACATCCAAATAAATGATTCTGTGTTGGCTGTCAGAGTTTCTGTTACTGTTTATACAATTATGGATTTTGGCAAACCTTTAAATAATGATTTTTTCAGGCAGAAAGCTTAAAAAATTCATGACTCCCGCAGATCAATCATTGGAGCAAGTATGAATGGGAAAATCAATTGCTTAGGTATACAGTTTTATTACAGCTGTAGCAGTGTATAAAAGTATTTTATATGAAAGAAAAAGGTTAAAAAGCAAGCTTATTATTTTTAGGTTACAGAATTGTCTGTATTTTCAATCTCTGAAACACTTTACCCCGAACACTGCTCTATTTTAGCCTTTGATTATTTAAATCCTCACTATACACAATAACACCAGAGCTTGAGTAAAGGTGCCAGTTCTTATTTTTATATAAAAAAGCGATAGATTAAATTATTTTTGTGGTGAGGTTGCAAGAGGTGGCTTTATGAGAAAGCCAACTATTAAGGTGAAAACCAAATCCTGATGAGAGACACCTGGGTAGCCTGAATACAGTAATTGGCACCCAGGGGCAGTGAGATACTACACAAGCGAAGGAGCAGATAGAATAGGCTCTGAGTGGAACTGGCAACTCCTCAGGAACAATAGGCAGGTACTGTATATCAGACCATCCAGGAGGAAAAGGCTTTTACCTTCTAGGTTCCAGCATTGAAGGAAGAAGAGTGAGAGCAATTTGCAAAAGCCTACACTCTATGGTGTACAGTACATGGGCACTGAAATAAATCCTTGTTTCCTTTTACTGTAATTGCACTGAAGTAACTAACATTTGGGCAAATCCTTAATGGTAAAAGGCAATAAAAGATAATTGCAAACATGCCACTTAAGATAACTGATTATGTACTGTATGAGGGCACTGTGGGTTTACAATCCTTGTTTGGTTCAGATGTGCAAAATAATAGTTCTCCAATAATTCGTTTTCTGCATAATAAGATTGTGAAGGTTTGGAGATAACATTGTTACGCCAAAGACTAGCAACACAAATGCAATGGAAAAAATAGTTGCATTATATTGATGTCAACTTACTGAGGTGTAGAGGTAGCCTTCACTGTTCATGCCAATGTAGAAGCCCGTTTTTGTTCCCTGGATGGCCACAATGCGAAGCCCCACTGGAATCAGGTTGAACAGAGCTGTGGAATTAAGAGAACAAGCCTTCAGAGACATAAGAGTTACAGAGTTACAGTCTGTCACTACACACAAAACAGAGAGGCCATTTGTTGAGGCCAAGAGAGTTGTGCAAAAGGCCTATAGTAAGTCTTGAACCATGGAAAGACATCACTGTTTTTGTGCTGCAGAGAAATAAAAAAGGTAGGAATTCAAAAAGAGGCAAATAATGACAGGAAGGCAAAACAGAGCAGTGACGGCACAAACACAAAGTGCAAGTCATCGGTTCGGTTATTTTCTCTCTTTAACCTAAAATTGCAGAATTATCACTACTCATAATCCTGACTATTACAATTCCCCTTCCTGCAAGGGAGAGATGACACCTGAATGATCCTTCCAAGAAAAAGTGCCATCAGAAGAGTCAGCTTCCATTTGTCACATTCTGAGCTCACCTACAGCAGGGTTAGTATTGGATAATGGAGCAATGCAGCTCTTACTGGTTATCACTGTGAGAACTTCAGAAAGTAACAGGAATTACTATCTAGGACACCATAGCAAATTCAAACCCACAGCGTACAAGTATATTGGATGGATCTTTTCAGAAATGTATTTGAGGTGCTGACAGTTCAGATTGTCCTGGATGCTAGTAAGTAGCCCAGCAATGCTTTTTAGCCTACGGTCTAATCACTGCAAAGAAACTATTCTTATGAAAACGTTGTCCCCACTGAAGCTTTTGGCCACTAAGCTGACTAACACTCTGCACGTACAGAGGATCAGATTTGTTGTGAAGGACAATACATTCTCATAAGTCTGAGAAGATATGGGACCCTTTAATTTCAGACGTCAAAAGATAATACAACTGAAATGTATGCAAAAAGTTTATTTAAACCACTAGGCAGCACTTTTGGGGGGATCTAAAATGGTTGGGATTAGATTAGGGTGTTTTCTGTATGTACTGATCACTTTTTCTATACCTCCAATGTACAGTAGGTGAATACTAATCTGTCTCCATTACAATAATTGCTTATTTGCATGTGTTTTTGTTCAATGATCATTTTGTTTTACCTTGTGTTGCAGAAAATTGAACTGACTGAATGGTTATACTTTGAATGTGTAAAATCTTGCTTCACAATAAAATGGATCTGAAATAAGCTACTTATACGCCACTGTATAGGACATCACAGTACAGGTGTGTAACAGCATTCAGACCTGGCAAAGTGGTGGCTGCATGACTGAAGACAGCCTTTGCTCTGGCTTGACAATATTACCTGGGAGCTTAAAATTCTTTATACCTCAGTCTGATGACAAACAGTTGTTATAATGCTGTTACAGTACAGTATATGTCCATTTGCAAACCCAAAGCTCTTGTGCAATTCGTATTTACAGCTGCTCAGCCGACAGCCGATATCAAGTGATCAAGGTTACACAAGATTTACACCTCATAGTGTAACAGTCCAATGGGCCCAAACTGAAAAAAACACCATTGCCTCATAATATACCCCCTGGGCATCATGTTATACTGAGGATTCCATCCGTACAACCATGTACCCAATTTATTTACAACAATTTATTTACAACTAATTTATATTGTTTGGTGGCATTGTAGCTTGACCCATTATTTGCCTATACAGTAAGCAGCAGTTCTTGGAAAGACAGACAGGTACTAGCTTTGCAACCCTGAAGGCACTTTGTTAATTAGCAATGAATGGTGCCATACTGGGAAAAAAGCAAAAACAAAACGTTAACTAAAAAAAGTTAAATGCAGGAAATCTCTGGAATTTAACCCCTTTGTCATGGTTTTTCTGTTCTTGTCAACGGGCGTCTTCAAGCTGGGGGGGGGTTAGGAAATCCCATTAAAAGGAGCTTCCCCACTTGGCAAACTAGGGGTTCAAAATGCACCTTGTAATAGCACAGGGTCCAATTTGACTCCCTCTTCAGTCTTCAGATTTACTAATTCTCTCTCCCAAGCTTGGAGATTCATTAAAGCGCACGTGTTGGGCACAAGGATGAGGAATCAATTCTGAAAGTAATTCAAATCTGGACCATTCTAAAAATGAATAATGTTTTGAGCTGCTGTGCTGCATTGCCCTTTAAGAGCAACGGGATTGGCGTTTTTAACAAGGCCAGTGCAGAATATGCAGAGCTTTTCTAATTTCTAATTCACATTTGCTGCTGTACTGCTGCCAAATAGACTGTATTGAATCTGAAATTCGCCCCTGTTGTGCTATAAAGCACAATACACTCTCACAGCTGGCTTTTCTGTTACACTTTCATTTAAAACCTATTTTCTTCTTAAATATCTTACCGTAGTAGTGTGTTGGGGTGCACTGGAGTGTGTGGTTTCTTGTAACTGACAAATAGACAAAATATTTGCCCCCCTTTTATTTATTACACAATTTATTATGAGATAAATATTTATTATAACAGAACTACATTTATATGGGACTTCTTGTCACCGATCTACAAAATTGATCAGACAATGACAAAGTGGAATGAAAGTTATGGAAATTCTTGGACGCACAATTTAAAAGAAAACGCTGAAACATGTTGATTTGACAAGCATTCACCCCCTTTGCTATGACACTCCAAATTGATCCCAGGTGCATCATATGAATTCAAATAATTATATGGCGTCTGTATTTGCACCGTAGACCTGGAGAACGATATCTCGCTCCTCTGTATACTTGTACTGTATATGGCTGGACTGACAAAAACACTTGAACTTGAACTTAACCCCTACTAGTAACAGGTATATAATGATGCGGAATCTTTGACACAAACTGCTAATTAGAGAACTAATTGCCAAATTAAGAAACATAACAGAAAAAATAACAGAATCTGAAGGGAACACTAACTTGTGGGGTGTTAATGCTTGTCCCCATGTGTCAAATAAACTGTTTTTTTGATTAAGGGAAGAGAATTACAAAAGGTCAACTCAGTGGACCTAGCAAGGGCCCAAATTCTGTGCGGAAGGAAGAAATTCAGAGGAAACACATTTAGGACAGAACATTAGGCACCTTTTTCACAACAAGCTGTCAAAGCCAGTGCCCTGGGATGCTTCAACAGACGACTGAATAAAATGATTGGATAAAGAATCTCCTGACAGCAGAGAAACTAAAGGTGAATTACTACCTTTCATTTGAAGCCTTTCTTGTGTTTGTTTCTTACCAGTCCAGGAAAGTGGCATCACCATAGCAACAACAACTTCCTCTACGAAACCTGTTGGACATGCTCAATTCATTTTTTGTTTTGGAGAATTCATGCAAGAACTCAGATTGTACTGCATTAAAGTTTTAAGATGCCATAGTATAAGCTTCCTCTCATGATTACAGGATGAATCATTCAGTATTGAATTCTTGACGGCTGGGCTCAAAATGGAAAGAGTGCCTGTGCTGAACTCACAGCGCATTGAGAAAGACATCAATCTGAATCCGAAGAGTCAGGCAAAGTGCATTTGTATGTCTCCTCAATAAGAGTTGAGTTAAGAGCAGGATTCTGAAAAGTCTTCTTTTGTTCAGCTACAGTGCATGAATCCTCTTTCCGAGAGCCTTTTTGTATATCTAAATCATGCTTCATGTTATTACTCAGGTTTTGAGATTAAGGGCAGGGGATTGTGTACAAGTAGCAAAAACAAACTAGAAATACTAAATAGGAAATACTGAGAAGGAAGATGCTACTTATGAAAGAAACTTAGCTGTTTCTGTTGACACATTTACACCTTCAAGACAATGTGAGGAAGCAATTAAAAAGGCAGAATGCTCGAATATGTAGCCAAAGGTGTATATTTCAAATCAAGGAATGTTATGTTAAAATTATATGACACACTAGTAAGACCTCATTTGAAATATTGTGTACACTTTTGGTCAGCAAATTACAAACCATACTGTTTGTAACTATTTGATGTTTTTATTGTTTCTCTATATGTAATGCTTTGGGAAGTAATTATTTTTATTAAGTAGAATGTAATGCCTCAGACTGCAGCAAAATTATGGATTTAGAAAATTTAAGAATCAAAAGAACACATCTTCTGTAATGGTATACAGGCCATGCAGACATTATTGAAGCAACAAGGCCTCTGGGACATTTGCCATTTCTCAATGACACTGTGCACGTTCAAGGGACTTTAATCATTCATCAATTATAGGAAACAGAGCTTGAAAACAGTAACAGGCTTCAGTCAAAGTAGAAAGACTCTAATTGTGCTGAGCAGGCAATAACCACCTCACCCTATAGACTGGCTGTAAATAAATTGAGTTCAGGCTGATTTTACAGCCCTTTTGTAGTCCTTTCTGGGCCCGCTAATTTATTTTTCTCTTCCCACATTAAATTAGGCAAACCAATCACACTTTAACAATCCACTCAAATCTGATCCTACTTTATAGTCACAAAACTTTACACCTCACAAGATTCACTGTTTGCAGACTTTAATTGCAACCAAGCTCACAATTCACAGCCAAAGAATTATTTAAAATCGTCTCTTCAGATTCAATCCAGTCATCACAGTGTATTTTTCCACAAAGCTGTCCATCTACACAAACTATTCATTTAAATTAACTTGGAATTGCTCTGGTGAGCACTGAGAACAGCCCATTGTAGGAACTGAAAGAAATGACAGAGAAACACAAAGGTTGCTTTTATTTTATTTAGACGCACACTTTAGCAGAGTTGCATTTGCTTGATCTTGACTGCTAACGGGCCATTCTGTGATCACCTTTTTCCTATGTGAGACTCACTAATGAAGCACACAAGACAGAACATACTGTCTGGATTCACTTTGCTCCCAAAACCCTCACTAATGAACTTTTCCTCTTTAATGGCACAATTCAGCAGGAGATCAGTAAATAAGAATCAAGACACTTTGTTTCCGTAACCTGCTATATTTCAAAGACCATGTGCACACTCTTGATGTGCACAATCTAATAATGACAAAAAAAAAGTATTTGACCTATCGAAAAAATACATAAAGGTAGGTAGACCCATGTTAGATCTGTTTTGATTGGCACACTAAAGACTGTTCTGTCCCTTA